AACCAGTGGACTGTTCACACTATCTGTCTCTTGACCAGCTGACTGCTCACACTATCTGTCTCTTAACCACCTGACTGTTCACACTATCTGTCTCTTAACCAGTGGACTGTTCACACTATCTGTCTCTTGACCAGCTGACTGCTCACACTATCTGTTTCTTGACCAGCTGACTGTTCGTACTATCTGTCTCTTAACCAGTGGACTTTTCACACTATCTGTTTCTTAACCAGTTGACTCTTCAAACTATCTGTCTCTTAACCAGTGGACTGCTCACACTATCTGTCTCTTAACCACCTGACTGTTCACACTATCTGTCTCTTAACCACCTGACTGTTCACACTATCTGTTTCTTGACCAGCTGACTGTTCGCACTATCTGTCTCTTAACCAGCTGACTGTTCACACTATCTGTCTCTTAACCAGCTGGACTGGAGCTGGTCAAGAGACAGATAGTGTGAACAGTCCACTGGTTAAGAGACAGATAGTGCGAGCAGTCAGGTAGTTAAGAGACAGATAGTGTGAACAGTCAGCTGGTTAAGAGACAGATAGTGTGAACAGTCCACTGGTTAAGAGACAGACAGTGCGAACAGTCAGGTAGGACTGCTCACACTATCTGTCTCTTAGCCAGTGGACTGTTCACACTATCTGTCTCTTAACCAGCTGATTATATTCAACTTTTTACCTCGTGAAAAAATAAAATTGTTAATTGAAAATTGTAAATAAAATTGTTAAAATTATTTGTCGAGAACCCAATATGAATAAACGTAAAATTACAGAAGCTATTTTAATAAAGGAATACAAACCTTTAATAAATAAAACACAAGGAGTAGGTTTATACTTATGCATGTATAGGTGTGACAAGGACCTGATGATGTTACTTTAACAGTGACAAAATGTTGTTTTTTAAATGATATATTTTTTCGACCCCATTTTAGTTGTTTTCTGAATTTTTAAACGTTTTGCACTATAGCACTGCACTGTTTATATGACTGTTTAGGGTTTGGCCTACAGTAAACCTGTACTCACTCTTGCTGTCTTGTGTTACATAAAGGTTTAAGACACAGAAAACAGTCAGTCTTTATACCCAATATTTAATCGACAAGTTCATTAGTGGTGAGATTCATGAATTCCTCTGCCTGTTTTGAACTGTTCAAAATATAATGTGTATTTTAACTAATTAAATTTATAGTTAGTTGTGTTGAATGTTTTTTTTTTATATTCTTTTGGAGTTTTTACGAACATACTTAAAAATACAATATCATTGTTTGTTAAATCGAGCTCTATTTGTTGTTAAGTAGCTGTATAATTTGTTAACTTAATGATAATGTTATATGTTTAATATAGACAATGAAGAGTTCGTAATGAGATCAATGTATTTCGTTTTTATTAGGGAAGTTTATTTGTGTGAAGATGGGGTGGGGAGAAGCTGTGAAGTTACTTGAACAGTGTGTGAACAATACAGAACTATATGCGAGATCAACTAAAGAGTCAAAGATTTTGTTGCAAGCTCAGGAAGAAGTATCAATAGCCAAAAACTGGCTAAATATTGAAGAATTTGAATTGAACTCCTCCTTGGTATGGCGTTTTGGAAAACGATTGAACCAAGAAGGACATTGTTCTGTGCTAATGCAAGCTTTTGGTCAAGAAAACTTAACGTTTAAGATAGAACTGGCCAAGACAAAGAAATATTACGAAGTGACAGATGGGAAACTGAGTGTCTGTAATCACTGTAAAATCAGTTTTGACTCGTTCCAGCTGTTCACCGACCACGTTTTCGAGAAACATTATTTAGCCCAGAACTGTCGCTGGCAATGTAATGTCTGTAATTCTAAGTCCTTTCCATACTTTGAGGCCTTCCAGTCCCATGTTTACCACAACCATCGTGTCGAAACCACCGTAACAGTACAGTTTCAGTGGGTGGACCTGCAAAAAACTGGTACATATCTCGAAAAGGCGACATTTTATGAACAATATGAATGCGAGACCACTCTGCAAATGCTGATCAAGTTAGGGGAGTCTGTTTTGTCAAATTTTGGAAGCTACTGGGTGTTTTTCTGGAATTGCCAGGATTTCGCAACGTGGTACCTCTATACACTCGGGATTCCGTTGTCTCTCTTGGGACCAACACATTCTGACAGACTTACAGGATCGGGATCAGCTGGTTTTCTTGTCCAAAGAGCCAAAGCTATAGCATGGTTTAAAACTGTTTCGAACTGTGAAGAACAACTGTTGAAACCATTGACGTATACACCCGTTCTTTGTTGTCAATGTCCATATCTTCCACCGATGCGTCTGGAGCATCTCCATCTTCACTTGAAACTAGCCCATCCTCTGATACACAATAGAGGTAAAAGTGATTTGTTGCTATTTTTTAAAAAAGGAAACAAAAACGTAAAAAAATATCCTTTTTGAAAATTAAATATTAAGCTGTATCTAGTTTTAGTTAGTAAATATACTGACGTAATCATTGTTATGATGTGAACGCTTTTTAACAAGCTGGCGAAGCATGATTGTGCTTGTCATAAGACGTTATGTTAGTCCTATTATATTTTTAACACTACATTCTTAATTTAGGCCCATAACAGTTGTTGTTGTAACAAATGGCCTATATAAATAGTACTTCGACCACTACTGTGTTTGTTGTATCCCAGCCGGCCTGAAGAACTCTATATTGAGTTAAATGCGTTGTTGGCAATGGATGTGACCAATATTGTGTGGTTGAAATACTATTAATTTACACTATTCTGATTATTGAAAATCCCTAAGAGATTAGATTAAGAATGTATTGTTAAAAAATATAATAGGCCTAACATAATGTCTTATGACAAGTATAATTAATTATATTGACGTAATAGTTATGGTTAAAACACCGAAAGCCAGGGAAACATTGGAAAGAATAGGCCTAAAATCTACGCCGTGACTTTTGGGAGACAAAATAGGTATGAGTTCTGAAATGCTGTTTTTTGCACGCCTCTAATTTTGAATCCGAAATGTACAAATTAAGAGGACTGTGAAAAAATAACACCTGTACTTTACGTGATTTTTATCATGAAACTTAAGTCTATTGATTTATTATTCAGTATTCTTATATAAATACATTTCCATGAAGAAATAGATTGTTGTTTCCGCTTTCAATTTACCAGTCTTTATTAGACTCGTAAATCCAGACGTCCTATGCTCGCATGCTTTACGTGTTCTAGATAGATCAAGCGAAATATTCCAAATAGGCCTCAAATGCTCTTGACCTGAAGTATTTAGAATAGAACTCAAACACCTTAGAAACAACAGGAATACACTACAGTTTTTCCACTGAAACAAACAAAAAATACAATGCATTAGGTACAAAATAATAATTTAGGCCCATCGATCCAGACCCGGCTCCAGCTTTTTCGCTGTCATGGGTACCAATATGTTCCACTCCAGTGCACTGTCATGGTAGTTTGGAATTTTGTATTACCTCGAATTCTTCTTCAAACTTCCAGAAGTTTATAAATTTCAGATATGTGATGAAATATTCAAACATTTGTCTTTTGTTTTTGCGTCTAAAAATAGACTTTGCAAGTGGACACTTGATTATCTATAAATGCTAAAATGAAAGAGTTAATGAGACCTTCAGAAATCCTGAACGACGACATGAACTCGGTGATTATGTTCGTAGGTTAAAAAGAACATAAACAGCTAAAAACGAGATTAAACAACGCAACGTTTCGCTTCCGTTAACGGTCAATTAGGCACCAGTTGATGTCATGTTAACGGTGGCGAAATGCCATGTGGTGTTTTCTTTTTTAAGGTTTTTTCTTACCTAATTAAACTCCTTTTTTTAACTATAGAATACATCTGTAGGTAAATTCACTCCAAATCTGTTTTTATTACTATTTTGATGTATATAGAATTAATGGTGTTATTAATATAATAACTGTATAACTTATGGCTCATTTTGGTTATTATATGTATTTTGATAGTGGCAGAGAATCCAGAGGAGTCGGAAAACTTGGAACGAACATTGCATTTACTGGATTATATAGAAGTAAATAACAATTTTTATTATTGTTTTATTGAAGGTAATGAAGGTGTATCTGTACTGTTAATATACAGTGTAAAAGAAGCTTGTGTATGTTTATTTTAACAAGTAATGACTCTTGTATTTGTACTGTTAATATACAGTGTAAGAGTAGCTTGTGTAATGTTTATTTTAACAAGTAATGACTTCCGCATCTGTACTGTTAATATACAGTGTAAGAGTAGCTTGTGTAATGTTTATTTTAACAAGTAATGACTCCCGTATTTGTACTGTTAATATATATAGATTAAGAGTAGCTTGTGTATGTTTATTTTAACAAGTAATGACTCTTGTATCTGTACTGTTAATATACAGTTTAGGTGTAGCTCTGGTTGATGTAAAGCGTATATACAAAGAGATTAGTTACTTGCAAGTTGTACAATATTTAGGTTATCAAATTAACACTTACATGGTAGCCATATTATAATCGAAACTTTTTTGGCTTCGTTAACGTGTAATTTGCTTTTGTTTTATTTTAGGACAAGAAACAAGATTCAGACACTTGGAGCACTAGGCTAAAAGAAATAGGTAAGGGTTTTTCTTTTTTATAACTAAAATTTGGGTGTCGTCTTTATCCAGAAGTTTTCTCTATTTAAAACTAATCATACCGTTATACACTTCAAACAAACTTCTCTTAAATGAGAACTGATTAGCGTTGGCAACAGTTAATTCTTTTCAGAGAACTGAACTGTTCCCTGTTCGCCGTAAGCGGAATTTATCTTCTAATGAGTACTGTTAATTTTAATGAACAATTAATCAAAAACAAAAAAGGGGATTTTCTTGTTTATTTAAATATGTTTTATCTTGTAGTGAGATCTGATCACTTTAACCAACAGTTCTTCTTTAGTGAATACACACGACTGAATATTTAAATATTGGTGGGCAGAGCAAAGCTAGCCCATCGTGTAACTTTGTGCTTAACTAAAAACAAACAAATGAAGTTCGTTTTTATCTACACACTTTAGGTTCTGGCGGTAAGATTCTTAAATTATTTTGATTCAAAATTCCTTAATTAGTGAAATTTGAAATTATCGCGTTTTTTAGACACTTGTATTAACACCATAATCATTTGTTATTCTCCAAAAAAGTTATCGTTTTTAGTATAATAATAATAAAGAAAACGTAATGAATAGGAATAACAAATAAATCTAGTAAAAGTAACATCAACATACGTGTATATTAGGCCTAACTAAAACGTAACGCTATATTTTATTTTCTATTAAAGAAAATCACGAAAGGAGGAGTTAGTTTTGTTTTATTTGTCTTCTGAAGAATGTTTTGTTAGAATATACTTTCAATAATATATATATATTTATTTATTTATTTTCCCCTAATTTAGCGGAATTGTTTTCTTGGAAAATCTGCCCTGCACGTGGCCTAGGTGAAAGCCAGTCAAGCTTCTACATTCAGAAAATACTTCAAGAACTTAACGAAAGCTTTAACGATAAATTATTTTCCAGTCGTTTGATGGATTTTGAAGTTTACACTTTCACAGGAAGTTCCGTTGCAAGTCACCATTCGGTTCTATTACATCCAGTTGGGAACGCTTTGTGTTTCACTTTGGAGATCAGGAAGACAGACATATGTGGTTATTTTCATCCTTTTACCCAAGTCTCAGACTTTACCAGTTTTAAAAAAACAAAACTGAAGTTTGCTGGGCTTGCAAAGACGAAGACGTTACAATCGCTGGTCACGTTGTTTATAGATTTGTTGCTCAATGGTCAGAAAGAGAAGGATGAGTGTATTGGGTTTTGTATTCGATTTGTTCACCTGATTTATCCCGAAAAACCTCGGGCTGACCGTAGTACTTTACATCTGCTTGGCTCAATCAGTTCTGTGTATAAGCTTCGACTCCTTGCTAAAAGATATGAACAAGTCTGGTTTTCTTTTCTCTTTTTTTTAAGTAATCATTTTCTGTCTTATTTCTGGTTTTATTCTCTGTACATTTTTATCATTCCTTACATCATGGGTAGAACAGTCGAGTTTCTGTTTTGGGGGTACAAGTTTATTATTTATTTATGGAAGGCGGGAAAACATAGCTCCTCATACCACATTATTTGCTGGTGCTATCCTGCAGTTCAAGAGGGTTTGTTGTATTATAAGCTTTTATTATGTCCAAACGATCCCTCATTTATTATTATGCTGTATGCTTTGATTATTTGGAGACAAAGCTACCATCGTAAAGAAGGCTTAGTGTCCCTTTTTATAATGCAAGCCAAGACTGGGGTTCAGGAGCCTGTGCAAATGGCAACAGACTGGATGGCAGTGTTGAGAATCCGAAAATGTTCTATTTATCTACTGCTCCATCTGGCGTTATTACTTGTAGAACTATGTATTAGCTGTTTCCTGCAGCAAAGAGTTTCTGCATGGGATATGATCTTTTTCCTACTAGCTTATTCCATGAAAACACATTATCTCTACCTTAGTAAGGAGGTAAACCTAGAAATAAGCTATATAGGCCTTGAGAAAGAGTTTTTTGATAAGAAATCCATCACTGCTGTTTCCAGACCCAAATGTGCCTTATGGTCCTCCGTACAACTTCTAGTACGTGGGAAGTCTTTGCTGAAATCTCCGGATTCGGATGCCATTCTTTATTCACAGATATTGGCAAAATTATTTTTCAAAATCACTATGGTGTCATCAGCGTGTTTCGTTATTTTTATGGTGTTAATATTTGGAAGTCAAATTCCTTCTTACTGCTTCATCACGGTAATTCTTTATGTAGAAGCTATTGAAAAATTTTATATGCACCACGAATTTCGCCTTCAATGGACTTCGTGTCTCACCAGCCAAAACTCTTTGAACTTTAGTGTGTCTTTACCATATTCACTCCTCAAGAAACCACACGATTCAACATCATTGGTGGAGATTTACAGTCTGTTTCAGAATAAACATGAAGATTAAAGCAGGGCCTTTTACACGCATTGATAAAACATACTTTAAATTTAAAAGACATCGACTGTAGATTGTATTAAGTCATGGTTTGTTTTGACGATCAGTAAAAAGTTTATCTTAACATTAAACGTAATCGTAGTATATATCGGACTATTAATTCACTGTCGTGGCTTTTTCATCGCATTTTTTTTTTCTGAAACTCATATTAAAAATGATATTTGTTTTCATATCAAACATTACTAGGCATTTTGAGTGATAGGACAATGTCAGTTGTTGAATTAGTAGTGCCATCTGGAAATATATTAAAACATATCAGGGTGATCCACTTTCCAACTCCAATGGGAATTCGGAGAAACTGGATTTGTGCCATGCCAGAAAGAAACATAAATATAAATATTTTTAATGATCTTAAAGAAAATGGAGAAAAGAAGAGTTACTTTCGGAAAAAACGGCAACTTTCCGGAAGTAATCAGAAAAGAACAGATACACAAGATGAATAAAAACTGGTAATTTATGCGCACATTTCATGGAGGTAGTAATTATTGATTTATAAAAAAAATATTCTCAAACACTACATTTTAACAATATGTAGATTTGACCTTCTCTGTGAAATTTCAAAAATGAAATTAAAATCATTAATATGAATTATAAAGCTGTTTAAAATAAGTCTTAATCAACGAAATTTAGTTCCATATAGGTAATGCTTTAAATTACGAGAAAATTATATGAAACAAAGTAGAGGGAGCTTTTTCCCTCCATTATTTTTCAGAAGGGTGGTTAAATTAGCCTATAACAGTTTAAGACATTAATTTTTAGTCGATTTGGCGTATTTTACCTAGGTTATGTTTATCTATATGCAACAGTTTGTAATTCTGAAGTACAATTTTATTTTATTCGTTGATATTTTTGGGATTGCATTACTCCATTGCTTGAAGTATTTGAAAATTTAACTATACTTTTTCAACGTGTTTCCTGAAAAACAAATGGAAATGAGGGTGTAACTTGTAAGAGCCTTACTCCATTGATGTTTTAAGGGTTAAGATTTTTTTAAAACAAAAATTAGCAGTAATTTACTGATCAATCTTACTTTATTGACCAGAAATCGGCCAAGAAGGGTCGGCCAGTAAGTTACAGATAATTTTATAAAAGTTTTCGTAAATTCAAAATACTATTTAAGTGGCGACGTTGTTTAGTCCTCGCCTAAAAAAATGACCTATGTGAAGTCCGAAAGCTTGTTGCTAAGAGGCTGTACTGACTTTGTACTTTTTATTTTATTTTTGTATGTAGATGGTGTTGTATTGTTCATTTTTATATTATACACACACACACATATTATTTTACTACCTGTATGAGGAGCAAATTATTTTTGCATTTCAGTTAGATGATATTTAGTTTTTATTAAGAAGATAATCGTTAAAAAAGAAGCCAGAAATCAATCGAGTACGGCCAATAAATTGCGGTTAAGATTTTTACCAGAAATTGGGAACTGAAAACCGTCAGAAAAAATAGTATGAAAGTAGCTAAAATGTGAAAGCGATCTTGTAATATATTCTAACACGTAAATGTCACGTACACAATATCAACTAAATCGCCATAATATCTCAGATTCATGTTAAAATACGTGAGGAACACATCCTGTCTCATTTCTCGTGTAGTGCGACGTTTGGAAAGTTCTAGTCGGTTAGGCAGGCGAAAAAAACATCACGAAATCAATGAGGTAAACTCATGCTCTCCAAAAATGTTTCAAATTTCCAAGAGTCATACCGTTACTAAATAGTTCTAAATTGCAAACAAAACGTAACATTCTATAAAACAATTGCAGTATTATGTAAGGCTAGTTTTTTGTGTGTGTGTTTGTTTTTACATGTATGTAATTTTTTGAGAGGTAATAAAATGTGAATTTTATCTTATCGTAAGCATTTTCAAGGGTTTTTCTTAAGTATTGTTGTATTCCCGTTTGTAATATAAATGTAAACATCTAAATATTTATCACAATTACATTTTTAAGGCGATTATTATATAGGTTATTATTCCACAAAAAAATGCCATCGTAATAATGAGCCAAAAACAAGATTCTCAGAAGTAAAAAAAAAGATATAGTAAAAAACGTAAGAAATGTTCAACTTAAGTAAAAACACAACATGTCATCGCTTACAGTGAATTACATAAAACTAAAGACAGAGAATAAATATGAGTTATAGTATTAATTAATAGTACGTGTTGCTTACGCTTTTTCACAGATACAATCAAAAGATATTCATATATTCTAAGAAAATGTCTGAAATGAAATAAGAACTGAGACAGTATTAAATCTTTAATGATGATTTATTAATTTTAATAATGAATTATCTAGACAATTATCAAACAGGTTAATATCTGATATAGTTATAGGCCACGAATGATGAAAGATAAATATACTTTTAATGACTTAATCAAAAAATACTATGGAAGAATTTAAATAATTATATGCATATTAAAAATCGTGAAGAAATAAAATAAACGTGAATATTAGTTATTTGACATAATATGAATAATTTCTCCTTTTCAAAGTAAAGAAAGAACCCGAATATCAAATTTTAGATACAAATCTATTTAGACTTTTATGGGGGGTCTACTGTTTTAATGTTTCAGTTTGTCCTTTGATTGATAACAATTTCCTTGTAAATGACATATTGTCAAAACTATTTAAATCGTGCTGATATGGTTATTTGTCCTTATATGACGTAAGTTGTCAATTAAGTCATGTTGGATGTTAAGATAAAAAAATACCAGGAACCGCTTTTCTTTTGTACGATATCATTTTCATAACTTACGAACGCCTTTTTCAAGCTAACAAAACATAATTATAATCAATTTATACCATAACAATTGTTGTTGTAACAAGTGGATTATATAACTAGTGTTCCGACCACTACTGTGTTTGGTTTTGTCCCAACAGGCCTGAAGAGTTCTGGATTGAGTGAAACGCGCTGTTGGGAATGGATATTATTTACATTCTTGTAATTATTGAAAATCCCTAAAGGACTATATATATAGTACAGTGTAAAAAAATATACAAAGCCTAATACTAATGCCTGATGACAAGTAAATTAATTATTATCATACAGCTTGAAAAGGGCTTTTATCCACATTATATTTTTTTCTCCTTAGTCGAATTAGCCTAAAATGTCCCCACGTGCCAAGTGCGTTTTCATGATCCATTGTTGATGGCGATACGTTATTTTGTAGGTTATTTCTAAATATTGGAATTTAAACAAATATATTTTATTTTAATTTGTTTTATTATTGAAGCACGGAAGTCTATAGTTCATACATAACATGTGATTATAAAACAAGATCAAAACAAACATGCCTAAAGTTGTCTTATAGAATACGTGACGTTTGTTGTACTGTGTTACGTAGGCTACTTCACTAGAATTGATAAAGTAGCTTATGATAACGTATAATGTTGTATATAATATCAAAAAATGATATTTTTTTAGGAATGTGCGCACAATACCAGCAGCTACTACTTGAATGAGTTCTACCCTACCCTCAGAGGTCCAAGTCATCGTGCTTTATATTACCTTTATGTGTACCTTTAAAGCTTAGAATTCCGAAAAAAAATATTCTCAAATAGTGTTTAAAATAATAATATTCAAAAACTTTCTCAGATTAACGGCTAAACAGAAAAATGGAAACGGTAAGTTTTTATTTTTGTTTTGTCTAGTTTGTTTGTAGTTAAGCTCAAAGCTACACAAATGGCTATCTGTGCTCTGCCTACCACGGGTATCGAAACCCGGTTTCTAGCGTTGTAAGTCCGCAGACATGCCACTGGGGGAGGGCGTGTTTTGTCTAAGCACGGGTCACTGCAGAACACTTAACAATGTTACAATTTGTATAGATAAGTATTTATATATATATATTTATTGATTTTAAAAGTCCTTACATGTAGCATTAAGGGACTTTTTGATTCAGAGTTTCATTAGAAATGGAAAACACTAAGATGATTACAATAGACATATTTACTATAACTTATAAGTGTTATGCTATTTCTGTGTGAATAATTTTTTACACTTTACTGTTTTCTAACATAATAGTATATAACAGCACTCAGTAACGGAATATTACAGTTTCGGCTGAGTACCTTTTGACGTTTTTATTCTTTGTATATATGATACATATACTTGCCTGCTGAACTTCGGCGTTTCTATTAATTTTCACTAAAAAGGCACAAGACGACGATTTTAGTTGTTTGAAATGAAAATGGAAAGAATAGCTATATAAGTGACACCATTTCCTTAGGCCTACAAGTTGCGTTCATCGCTTCACAATACCAAGAAATAATTCAAATTTTGTCCCACTCTTATTTCTAGGCCTAATTTAAAAGAGTTTCGATGTTTTTGTATTTAATTTATTACATAGAGTTGTTAGTGAACTATTATAATTAAATGATGTTAATTATTAGGGTTAATATTTGAGTTAAGGTTACAGAGAAATGTTTAGTGTAACTAATTAATATCGCCAAGGTAGTTTAAAAGAGTCGTGAGATGGAAGTTATAAGTTTAGAAAAATATAATGAAACGTTTATCGAAAATCGTTCTTAAATAGAACACATATGTGAACAGTTACTGTAGGTATTAAATTAAAGTTTAACTTAAAGATAGGTTAGGATTAATGGGCATTATGGAGCTAACACTAGGTAGAGTAAGCTGTAAAGACAAATTGTACAACATATATTATTTTTTAAAAACCACGTAAAATTAAAACAAACAAACATAAACGTCATTTATTTAACAATGTGAACGATGGCACGTCTTTATCTTGTTTGTTCTTCTTTATACAGACGATGATGTTACTCATTAGTGTGCGTGGCATTTTGTTTACTTTTGCACTCGAATAGACCATAAATAACATTTAACTTCTTTCTCGTTTATTTATTTATTTTGTAAATAATTTTATTTTAGAAACTCTAATAGTTCAGAAATAAAAATCAATGCAAGTAGTTCAAATAAGTGTCTTAAGCCTAAGGTAAGTAGCACATTGATTTCTGCTAAAAATAAGATACTACAGGACATTTACGAGAAGCAAGCTACTTAAACATTTAGAAGCAAAGGTGGCTTTTAAAATAATACCAGTCAAACTCGAAGATTAGTTGAGCTGGAAAATAACAGTCATTGGCAATTCTTTTTCATCATCTTGCGAATTAAGCAAATGAAGATAAACGTAGTGTTCACGATAATTCCATTAAGCCTATAAAATGAAGATAAACACAGTGTTCACGATAATTCCATTAAGCCTATAAAATGAAGATAAACACAGTGTTCACGATAATTCCATTAAGCCTATAAATTGATTATTGTCCAATATAAGAAATTATATAGTGATATTTGAGCTACAAGATTAAGAACTTGTAGAAAAATGCAAAACAACGTTGTTTTTTTTCTTAACGTGTTCTCGCTTATTCTCAACTACGTACAACTTGAAATGCTACCCATTTTCCTTGTTTTTCATGTTAGATCTATTCGAAATCAAATTTTATTTGTGATAATAAAGTTTGTTTGTAAATTAAAACATATTGTTTCAGAAAGTGTTTTTGTTTCTTATCTGTGCTAAACTTTTTTCGTTTTGTTTTAATTTATCATACGATTCAGTGTAGACCCCTTAGTCGCTCAGCGCTGAACCTATATTAGCATTGTATGTCCATAAATTTACTGCTGTCCTGCCAGAGGACATGTATATATACAGACAGACTTATAGACAAGTACAACATAAATTGAACAAATTAGTTTTTTATGTATCAACAGACTAAAAAAGTATCGTATTAATTAAACACACACATTTAATAATGAATATAAACAAGGAACAGTCACAAAAATTAAAATAATTACAATTTCATACCTATGTTTCATATTTTAATATCACCAGACACTGAATCTTTTGGTTTATTTGTAGTTGAGCACAAAGCTACAGAATAGACTATTCATACAGTGCCCACAACGGGTATGGAATCCAAGTTTTGACGTTATAAGCATTCTTTGAAGTTCGATTTCCCACGATGGGTAGAATGCAGATGTCCACTGTGTGTCTTTGCGCTAAAAACATGCATATATTTATAGGGAGATTAAAGGGGAGTAGCTGCCCCACTTTGGAATATAGTATACATACGACATTCACAATAATTAAATCAGTCTTTTTATCTCCCCCCGCCATATTTTGGTCTCAAATCCCGCTCATACCTATATATATAAACGTAACTTCCATTTCACTTTATATATTACAGTGAATACCTACGTATTCAATTATAAAAGTTTCGACCCTGTTCCGTTATACTTTTTTATAGCTAAATACATTGAATTTTGGTTCACTTTAGGATGCAGCTTTCTTGACTTGGTATATGTCAGAAGGCTTCAGACATATTACATAGCAAAACATATGTAGGCGTTATATTATGTACAAAATTATACTACCTTAAGCTTACACACTATCCACGTGACTGAGGGCCACTCCCATATGAACAAGGAGTGGATCATACCCTCGGTAATCCCCTGATTACCCGATAGAATAGCCAATTATATCTGTTCATAGCATAATTCATACTGTAGTAACCCTTTCTAAAGGAAGAAAAAACATGCTAGCGATACTTGTAACTCAAACAACCTTGTGAACAGCCAGTAGGAGAGGAATTTATTAGTTGCCCTGAGATGATCTGTACTAAAAATATATCTGCAACACTAAAAATTCGAAAACAAATTCTTGCAGCTAAGCGAGAAAGAACGCCTCATGTGGCTGTATATTAAATTGTCAAATAATAAAAGAGATTGTTTTCTTCGAAATATAAAATACTTTTAATCACACACTTCAAAAAGTTATAAATGTGACAAAACACTGCCAGTAACTACTTTAAAAATTGTGATTTATTACTTAAAACTATAGAAAGATCTAAAATAATATTTAAAGGTATATTATATCGTAAATAGATTGCTACTGTATGTTTATTTTTTCAATGTAATATCTCATTTTCAGATCTAAAAGTAAATATCACGTACAATTTTGTAATCAGTAGTTATTAAATTACTACAAGCAATGTCTTTATTATGTTGGTGCAAGCGACAATATCTCGGATTGATCATTTTGTATAGAAAACCATAGAAGTACTTCAAACGAGGGATAACGAGATTAATTTACACTTTCTTTCAAACCTTTCATGATATTAATTTCATGCTATTATATGGAGCAGTTTACAGTAATCTGAATTGTATTTGTAGCGGCTCCCAACTTCTAACAAAGGTTGATGTGTTTCTGAGAAGTGTTAATAATATTTATTTTGCTCTTAATGACGTCAGAGTTCTGCTAAAAGAAAATCACGTGGATCCACGTTATCTTTCTCGAGAGCTGTTTATGACGCACATACGCATAGAGATAATTTTTATATATGTTTACGAGCCATATGAGATAATTTTTATCTCTATGCACGCACGTTCTCTGAATATCAAACTAACATCACTATATCATATTTTAATCACAATAATATTATTAAGTACGGTGGTACTTAATAGTAGGGACCGCCAAGGTTTCCAAATAGTTCACCACCCTATCGAATTCCTAAGCAGATTTCATAGAAATGGTAAACACGTACTTAAATATCTTTCAACCCAACAGATGGCGCTACATACAGTTCCTATAGGTAAAAGTAAACAAGAGTATTAAAAAATTATAATTTTTAAATGAAGTAGGGATCCTGATACAAAAAGTAACGACACAAGAATTAAAACCACAATCACAAATTTATATAATTTAGACCCTACTTTGGCAGCTTTATACATTTATCTGAAGGCCAAAGTAAGGATTACATTTTATAAATTTGTGATTGTGGTTTTAATTCTTGTAAAAGTTATAGCTATATGGGGTGTGGCTATACTAAAAATGTATAGATGATGTGTCCATATAAAAAACCGAACAAAATAAATAGGGGAAAAAATTATAATTTT